GAACTAAGAAATCACTTTTTCTAATGACTAATGTTAATGTCTCTTTGCTGTTTACAAATCTTATTATGTCTGAAGGCTTCATGGCTCTATCCAACCAGGTGGACAAGTGTCTAAAAATAAAGTATCTGAGAGATTGTACATGGGCACATATGGATGAGCCAGGGATAGCATTAAGAGCCAAGTTCTGTGCTTAGGTCTTGGTCAACATCAGAACTGCTCACGCAAGCGGAACATGCATGCTCACACTAGTGGAAATCTCTCCAGACAAGGATTTTGACCCAGTTGAGAACAGTAGAATAGCCTGGTCAGGGATGGAGTGGGATAAAAACAGCACAGCCATGGGGTTATGCTGAGTGGCTGCGCTTTCCCAGGCTGTGCTAGGGATATATACAAGTGTTCATTGGGTTAGGTTAACCAATTTTATTTGCAGTTAACACATGCCAATCTAATTTTAGATTGGGTGTACCATTTTTAGAGCAACCCAAGGCCCTGAGAACATTTGCAAATCCAGCCATTTAAGTTACCCTAAACTCAGCTAAATGTAAGGCTTGTATGCACCCCCTGTCATCAATTACCACTTGACTCTTGTCTTGAACACTAAATATTTCAGTATTTTCTGTGTATACCAGTTCAAAGGTCAAAACACCATACCAGCTAGCTTATTTAATCTGCAGCTACTTCCAGTAAAAGAAAGACATAAAGAGACAAAATCACCCTGTTTTCTGGTTTGGTAGAATGGGCCATATGATTGCATTTCAGAAACAAAACAGATATATTGCAGATATTGATTTAGGCTGAGACACAAACATGGTTAATTAAGTATTATAATTGAAAGGAGGCTTGTGGCAAATGAGAGTGGAATAGCCCCCAAAGCCACAGAGCCCAAGGAAAACACATGAGAATGTCACAGATGGGGTAGGCTTTAAGAGCCAGACACCTCAAACAATGTACAGATAGATTTTCATTAAAACTCTTGTGGGAGTAGGCCCTCATTTCAATTCTTCTCTTGAAGATCAACATTTGCTAAGCCAGCCAAAGAACACAAGGATGTATAGTTTAGTTTAAGATGCTTGTGCAGGCCTTTAAGTATTATTACATGAGAATTCAATTTAAACAAACAAAAAGAGTTAGACCATTTGATAAGGAATATTAAAACCATTAGGAAAATAAATTCAAATTTGCAAGTAATGTTACTTTCGTTATTCAGGAATACTATGTAATTTTTTATTATTAATATTATTCCTTGTATTTGTTTTAGTGACGGTCAGTCAAACCAAAGGCTTTTATGCCTTATTACAAAAGAGCTCATAAGAATCTGATACCCTCAGAGTCTGGAGTGCCTAAAAATACCTACTTACACAACATTATATTGCCATTTCCCCTAGCTACATTGTATGCCTTGGTTGGAAAGGTTTAGTTGACAATCCAGGTTTGTAATAGCTAGTTTAAATGTATTTAACCCCCAGAGTAAGGGTCAGTTTTGTATGCTGAACTCCATTTTCTGTCCTTTTATGCATGATTAAATGGTAATTAAGTTTTAATGAAAAGTGTTAGGCTGATTACAATTAACATAATCGCACTAGTCAGTTCATGTCCTCATGTTCTACATGCTGTGCTGAGCTGGCAAGACAAAGGACCTTTAATAGGGTCCAAATGTCTTATGTGCTTCAGCCATTTACACAACTTTTATTTAAAGCATCTCTGCCTACAAACATAATGAAGAGCAAAGCACACCCAGGTGATAGGCTGTGTATAATACTGCCTACTATGTTATTTGAAAATTCTTGGATAATGCAAAACAACCTTCCAGACATTATCTTCCTGATACCTGTAAGAAACCATTCATCTCTCTGATTTCTAAAGGGGAGAAAGGAACTTTGAATACATTTATTGATTGAATTTCAGAAAAACAATTTAAGGGGTTACATCCTCCAATATGTTGCATCACATTGCTTTGGTCCAGCAGAACACTTCAGCAAAAACTGAACTGTGAAGGCAGTAAAGCTATTCACATGCCTAAAATTCAGCAGAGACTAACATGTTTTGCTGAAGCAACAGGGCCACAATGCTCAGGACACTGCAGGACTGAGCACAAAAAGACTAACTTTGAATCTGGGGTGCAAGGAAGAATGAATTGAATACATTACGTTATGCTAACATATATTAAATCATACTTTCTCATCCTTTGCACTTGCCACTTACGTAAACCAAGAGCTTTACAAGTAATTTATTCTTGACTTTGGCTGAAACTTCCAGTTCTCTCCCACTAACTCCAATTAATTCCAGTGAGGCACACACTTCAGTTGCCAGCATGATCACCAAATTGATCCAACAGAAAATTACACTAAGCCACAGAAATCATTTCTTGAATCCTAAAAGTTTAACCTGTCTTCTTAAAAATGACTGAAGGTCAACTGCTACTTTTGCAGAAAGGGGCATAGGTGAAACCTTATTTTTTCATTTATTGCTAAGCTAAAAAAGAATACTCCCACAGATATCTTAATATAGTATACCAGGGACTGGTGACCATTTTCAGGCTGTGGGCAAGAATAGCTCAGCTCTTACCTGACATGGGCTGAATTGCTTCAGCAGCACATCAGTGGCAGGGCTTTTCCTGCACTCTAACCAGAGCCACGGAGCTGGAAGCTGTGTCTGTGCTATAACTACATAGGAACTGCCTTTTACTCATTTTACCCAGTATCCTGTGTCATACAGTGACACAGTGACATACAGTCATTGCTGAAAGAGAGAATGAACTGGGTATGGCCAGGGCTTTTTTCACTGTTCCTCTCTCACTTTGCAACCTCTAGCATTTAAGGTCTAAATTCTGATTCAGAGGCTGTACCCCTAACTCCCATGCTAAATAGCTATTGATGCACCTTTCCTCCAAAAATTTGTTCAATCCCTTTTTGAAACTGGATAAACTGTCAGCTTCCACAACATCTGGTGGCAATGAATTCCACTCTAATTACCACAACTGGTTCCCACTGGTTCCCAATTCCTGGAAGAGAGCTACACTAGAACTGGGGAGCTGGAAGTTACTTCCACCCTGCTCTTGCTTCTTCCCATTCACACCCTGCCCACACTTCCAAGCCCAACCCCAGTGCAGCTCCCTACCATCTGGTAACTGCAATCATACTGCAGCCTGGGGAGGAGGGAGAAGCAGAGTGGTGGGGGCCGGTTGGGGGAGGAGGAGGGAGAAGTGGCAGCAGCACAGGTAGAGCTGACAGCTCCCTGAACACATCTGGAGTACTGTGTTCAGTTTTGGGCTCCCCACTACAGTAGACAAATTGGAGTGAGTCCAGGAGAAGACAACAAAAATAGGAGGCTCGGGCATGTGACTTCCAAAGAGAGGCTGAGGGAACTGGGCTTATTTAGTCTGGAGAAGAGAAGACTGAAAGGGGGATTTAATAGCAGCCTTCAAGTACCTGACAGGGGGTTTCAAAGAGAATGGAGTTGTTCTCAGTGGTGGAAAATGACAGAACAAGGAGAAAAGGACTCAAGTTACAGCAAGGAAAGTTGTGGTTAGATATTAGGAAGAACTTCCCCATCAGGAGGGTAGTAGAGCAGAGCAGGTTACCCAGAGAGGTTGTGAAATCTCCATTCTTGGAGGTATTTAAGACCTGGCTGGACAAGGCCTTGGCTGGGATGATATACTTGGCGATGGTCCTGCTTTGATCAAGGGGTTGGACTAGATGACCTCCTGAATCCTGAGGTTCCTTCCAACCATAATTTTCTATGATTCTATGATTATTAAAGGAATTGTAAACAAAACAGAAAGCATCATCATGCCCCTTAATAAATCCATGGTATGCCCACACCTCAAAAAGGATATAGAAGAACTAAAGAAGGTACAGAGAGCAGCAACAAGGATGATCAGTGGTATGGAGGGGCTTCCATACAAGGAGAGATGAAAGAGGCTAGATTTGTTCAGTTTAGAAAAGAGCCACTTGGGTTGGGGGAACATGGTAAGCGTTTACAAAATGCTAAATGGTAAAAAGAAAGCAAATAGGGATTTATTATTTACTCTGTCTCACAATACAAGAACTGGGGGTCATAACATGAATCAGTATGTAGTAAGTTTAAAACTAACAAAAGGCAGGGTTTTTTCTTTCCACACAGTGTGTTATTGAAGTGTGGACCTCATTGCCAGCAGACATTAGGAAGCTGATAGTTTAGCCAGACTCAAAAAAGGATTGGACAAATTCTTGGAGGAAAGGAGTATCAATAACTCTTGAGCATGGGAATTAGGGATACAGTCTCTGAATTAGAACTTTCTAGACCTTAAATGGTAGAGGCTGAATGTGATAGAGGAACAGTAGGAAATAGTCCTGGTCATACCCAGTTAACTCTCCCTTTCAGGCTCTGCTCTCTGCCACTGTGTGATACAGGCCACTGGGAATGACAGACCTATGGTCTGACCTAGGAAATGACAATTTTTATATCCTTATGTATGTATCCCCTCCTTTGATGTATGTGCAAAGCCATCATTAACATTGGGACTTTTGGTGTTGCAACTGTGTTCACTCATTGTTTGAGTGCTTAGCCCATCATTCTTCTATGTACAAGTGCAGATGCTTCAGACCCCAATATGTAATTCTCAAATTGTGTGTATGTATTGATATAATATCCAGCTGATTATTGTAATGTTATTTGTCTAGACACCTGCTACATGTTTACTCTTCCCTTAAAATATATATAAATAAAGCATATATATGAAAAAAGTGTATGGTGGTTTGGATTTCTCAGGAAACAAAATGATTGCTTACATAAAATGAGTCAAATATTTGATGCTGCTAGCATTGTTTGGTCTATAGATCCTAACAACTCACCAAAAATCTTAAGTAAATTGGATTTGGGTATATAATTATCTCTGGACAAAATCAATAAAGCTACTAGGAAAAAACCCAACACCAACAACAAAAAAACAAAGACAGTGTATTCTTGTATAAAAGAATAACTGGCTTGATTGTACTTGTGAGAAAAGAGGATTCACGTACTTGAGAACTGGATGGAAAAGCCTGACTTGCTGATGAAGAAGTCACTGTCAAACTGTAACGTCAGTGAATTGAAGGTGCTATGAATATCTTCTGGAAGGGCAGAACCACTCCATTCTTTTAGAAGAATACTGCTTTCAACAGGACCATCCCACACCTTCAGGATGTCATGAGCAACCTCAGTGTCAAAAACAATAAAATGCAGACTGCAAAAGAAGAAAAACACATGATACATGCACTGTATTGTATAGCATAGTCATGTTTATGAAATTTACCTTTGTCTTCTTTTTTTAAGAGATAAGAACTCTGAATTTTGATATGAACCAAGAGTTCAACTATGTTTGTTGGACATTACATCAATTTCTGCTCAATTACAATAAAATATTTTCAGCTTACTATCTCAATTTCCACTAGGTGGTAGCATATATATCACAACAAATCCTGTCAAACCTGAATGTGGGTTCCTATATAGAAAAAAATTCTTAACTGATCTGATATATGTATGTGTCAAAGTGATATAAGAAAAAAGTGAAATAGTACCAAATATGTTGTAAATGTGTTGTTTTATGCAGTAGAACTTACGTAAGTACACTATTTAAAAGTGTCCAAGTTGTATGCATTTCTTTTTATTCAGAGCCAGGTTATGCCACCCTTAAATTCTTTCTAAGGCAAATGATTTTTCACTTCCTTACTGAAGAAGGAAAACTCAGAAGTCACAAACTGGCTTTTAGAAAAGTCCTGTTCCACACTGCTCCCCTCCCCTCCTTTTCTACCTAGCTTTGCTGCGCTTAAAGGGGGCAAAGAACTCTTTCAAAGTCCTTCACTGAATCAATTAGTATGAAGGCCTCAGGCTCCTTCATCTGCCACACTTTCTTCTCATCACTATGCTATAAGAGTATACTTACTATTTGTACCCATACACCTTTCATGATTATGTGTCAACTTCAAGGTTTTGTAGAGCCAATCTTTTTGTTTTCATTTTCTCCTTCTCCCCACATAGTCTGCATGCTTACAGCCTTGTTACTGTTACACCTTATGCTGAGCTACACAAATGTTGCTTATTGTTAGTGCTGGCTTAGAGTTTGGAGCAGTCATACATTTAGTTTAGAAACCTTCTCTGTCTCCCACCTGCACAACTGTGACTTACCACTAGAAGTCTGCCGAGCAGAGGTAGGACTAGGAACTGTAGCTGTGAGTTGCCGCTAGAGGGCAGGTGAGCCAGGAGACACTTCTATCCCTGCTCTACAAGCTGGGGTGTGAGAGATCCTGGGACACTGGAGGACTTCAAATTGGGCGGCACATTTGTGGGGAGTGGCCACACCATAATGGAACAGTAGCTGGGTAGTTCAGTTCAGAGATAATGCTGCCCTGGAGTGGTGTAACTTTGAGTTGCATAATGAGTGCTTAAAACCAATTCTGGATGTGCAGACAGTCCAAGTGTTAAGAGCTCCAGGAGCTCCAAAACTACCATTTTACAAGGCCCTTATCTACAGTCTTTCTTTTTCACCTTTTTCTTGTAAATAACAGAAAACAAAAGACATTCATTATTAAAACTTATGTATTAAACACCAATTACAAAATCAAATAATCATGTTCCCATGTTTATTTGGTCCCATGCAGATCAGAAGTGGCCAACTTGTGGCATGAATGCTAAAAGTGGCACAGAAAGCCTCTGTTTGGGGCTCACCAAATCAAGGAAGGGACAGGCAACACAGCAACAGATAGGGTAGGAAGCAAGAAGCAGAACAGATAAGGCAAGGAGCACAGTGCAGGAAGCACAAAGCAAAGCAGCACATTGGGCAGAAGAAGGAAATTAGAGTGGCACTTGGGAAGGGTGATGAGACTAATTTGCAGCATGCCTGCCAAAAAGGTTGGCCCCCAACAGAACTGAATTACAGTTAGCTAGACATTTGCAGCCTCTTATGTAAAAACTTGACTTTGACAACAGCTAATGTCCTTTCCTTGACTCCACCACTGAAGACAGTGCTGAACCTATAGGTGGAACAGAATGCAGTTATTCATCTGATTAATACTATTAGTCACAAGGATTCAGAGATTCATAGATGTAGGGTTGGAAGGGACCTTGCAGATCTTCTAGTCTGAACTCCTGCCCTGGGCAGGAGAGAAAACTGGGCTCAAATGACCCCAGCTAGGTAATCGGATGATGTTATGCCAGGATTCCAGGAACTGCTTTAGTGTTTATTCACTTCCTAGCACAGTTTAAAGTGTTAACTTTCATCTAATGATAATCCCCTTCAGACATGACTGTAGTGCCATACTAGACTGTAGAGTGCCTAACAATCTTTGAACTATTCAAATAAAAGTACAACAGTAACAACAATCACCTGGAAATATTGATTTCAGATGACTCTGGATAAGACCCTAATATGTTTCTTTGTGCTTGTGCTGGGGCAACAGTGGAATACTCTGAAACAGCCAAGCTACCCAGTTCAGACATGAATATCTGAAGGGATGGCAGAAAGAGCATTATGAAAGAAATTTCCATGTCTCTGGAACAGTCCGCACCTGCTGGTCTAAAAAAAATTCTTCGGAGAAGGAACCAGTCTAATGTTGTGAATCTGGGAGATAATGTCTTAGTTATCACTTACAGAGTAATTAATAATCTGGTAAAGGTTACAAATTCATACTTTATAGGCCAGAAAAAAAAAACCCTTAGTGACATTATTTACTACTTTCTCTTTACTATATCAATAGTTTCTCAAAGCAATAAACTCCCTGAAAAAAACCCTCTTTTTAAACTTGCACAGTATTTTATTGTATCTAGTATTAGTCCTTTCTATGAGTTTAAATCTAGGAGTGACCACTAGACCATCTAGTCTGACATCTTATATATTACATCCCATTACATTCCATTTCATTGTGGCAGACTGAGCTCAGGAATTTGTATTTAATCTAAGCACAATTGTTAAATTCAGTCTATGTGTATACTGCATAGAGATTTATGAGGCTTCTTCTTCTCTACATAGAGATTTATGAGGAACTCTCTTCTTCCCTCCCTTCCACTATAAGAGAGGAGGTACTACTTTGGGGATCTTCCACAATATGCATTTCCTTAGCAAGTTAATAGACTTCAGTCTTTGAAACAGAAATATGCATGGTTAATGACACTGTCTTGTATGTACAGGTAAGCACATAACTAATTGTGCAGGATCAGAGTCTAAGAAAGGGAAAAGCATTCAGCTATAAAATATTGCTTTAAAATTTTTACCTGTATTTGCACTTGATTGGAAAACTTTGCACAAACTATTAAAAAAAAATTTATTGAAGAACTGAATTAATTGACTTGAACAATATCAGCACAGTAGGAATTCATTGATGAAAAGAGCTTACTGTACATTAACAGAAATAGAATTATAGATAAGTTATTTAATGTAACATTTAATTCTATTTCTGTTAATGTACAGTAAGCTCTTTTCATCAATGTATTCCTACTGTGCTGATATTGTTCAAGTCAATTAATTCAGTTCTTCAATAAATTTTTTTTTAATAGTTTGTGCAAAGTTTTCCAATCAAGTGCAAATACAGGTAAAAATTTTAAAGCAATATTTTATAGCTGAATGCTTTTCCCTTTCTTAGACTCTGATCCTGCACAATTAGTTATGTGCTTACCTGTACATACAAG